TTAAGACTTTATGTATACTGCTCGGAAAGCTCAACAATTGTCTCCATCACTGTACATTGTGAAATCCCAACAAAACCAAGATGAATTGACGTAAATTTAGTTAGGTTGATTGGTATCTTGAAATTTAAAGCGGGATCTCAAAACCCCCGAAAACCACGTCCTAAATTTTTTACTTCCGACCTCCGTCTACAGGGTTACCGGTTTTGCCCAACGACAACCCAAAATCCAACCACAATGCCACTGACTGGCCCACACTCCACACACACCCCCTCCCTGCGACAATCCCCTCTCTCTCTTTCTTTCTCTCTCTATCTCTATGTCTCTCTCTCTCTCAAGCAGTCCAGGTCATGGAATAAGAACTGAGTGCTACGCAAGGGGCAGCGAACAGCGAGGAGAACAAGAGATTGCAGCAAATAGACCACACCAGAAAACCGCAGCTGGCCCCAAGCCAATGGGATGTAGCCAGAACCTATTAATGGGCATCAGCCCTGATCCTCCCCTCCCACAGCCTTCCCACCCCCCTGCAGCCCCAACTGAGGGTCGTCCTCCTCCAAAGGGGGTCTCTCTCTCTCTTTCTCTATCTCTCTCTCTCTCTCTCTCTCTCTCTCTCTCTCTCTCTCTCTCTCTCTCTCTCTCTCTCTCTCTCTCTCTCCCTCTCTCTCTCTCTTTCTCTCTCTCAAGCGGTCATGCTCATTGATAAAAGCCTGGGAACAACTAAACAGCAGGGAGGTGCCTACCACGAGGTAACCCGTACAAAGTAGAGGACCAAGTTCCTACACCCCCGCAATCCCCTATCCTTCCCCTACGCACCAGCCCTTCCCCTACCACCCTGTTCCCTCCGGCTCAACACCCCTCCCGCCAGGGTCTACGGATCCTCCACGTCCAAGGTAGAGAACAGGTCCCCGAGGTAGGGTGCCCACGGGTCCGAGGCGGGGTGGGGGTAGGCCGCCTCCAGCGCTGCCCCGGACCGGGTGATCAACGTGCACGATTGCACCCAGCACCGAACACCGCTGCCGGAACTGTGAGTACAGTTTTTTGGCGGGGGTGGAGAGCGGGTTAGCTCGGAACCGTACCAGCGCTGAGTGATCTGCCAGCATGCGGAGGAACTCTGTGGTGGACGGTGCTAGGGCCCCGTATGTCTCCACCGCCAGCGCAAAGAACCCCACCCAGGCTGGCCTGTCCTCGTAGTCCCTATCCTTGCCCCTCGACGCCTCCTTTGCCGCCCATCCAGGTAGGCCACCGGCGTCCAGGTCACAGCGTTGCAGGACGGGATCAGTCACTGTCACATCAGTGACCCAAGCGGCCCCTGTTTCCATATCCCGCACCGCCAAGTCGGCTCTTTTGCGGTTCGAGGGAGTGGAGAACTGCGTGGTCTCGTGGTAGGTGAAGAATTTCGCCTCCCGGGCCATACGCAGGGTTGAGAACACCAGCGCGTTGTGCAGCTGCTTGACATACCCCTCCAGCTTGCACCGTAGTATGTGGTTGGGCAGGTTAGGGTCGGGGATGGACTCCGTGCCACAAGAGCAGCCGCCGAAAACTGGCAGAGGTAGGCCAAGGCGGAAGGCAAGTGCCGTGCCAAACTCGCCTGGAGAGAAGGTGAGATCCGGGTGTGTGGGCATTGCCATCAACCAATCCCTGCTCCTGTGCCTCGCAAGGCTGTCAGTCTGGTGCCGTGTGCGTTTTCCTTCCCTGGTCTGTCCAGGAGGGTATCCACGAACAGCTCCTCCGCTCAGTGGTGGTTGATAGCGCGCGAGAGGAGCTGCTGGAGTGGTCCCTTCGGAGGTGTTACCCGGGCTTCTCCCAACGTCCGCTGGGCGGCCTCCGGCAGCCTGGTCTCCAGGTCCTTGATGAGGGTGTCCAGGGCAGGGTCCCCTCACTGCCGGCCCCTAGGAAGTTGAGGGCCTGTTGGAGTGGGCCGTCTGCCAGCCGCATGGAGGAGAGCAGCGCGGCTGCCGCCGCCATGGACGTGAGATAGGCTGCTGGCCCTTTGGAGGTGGGGTCTATCAGCCCCAAAACCACCAGGAATACTGGGAGGGTTGCCTGCCGCCACGTGAGGCTCCACACAAGCTCGTCTCGCAGTGTCTGGATGCGGGCAGCGGTGAGCGCTGCGCGGAGCATGGTCTCACTCCATGCCCGCCAGTCGGCTAGGGGGAGCCCGTCTGTGGGTGTGGAGCAGAGGAGGAAGGAGGCCCGGCGGGATATGCACCTGGCTAGCAGCAGAAGGGTGTGCTGCGGGTGCATGTCCTGCAGGAGGGGCAGCTGCTCTGCTGCCTGGAGGAGTTCCTTGCGCAGGAACTCTGTGCAGAACGCCGGGTCCCCCACCGGGCTTCCGAGGATGCGCACTCCCCCTTCTGCCCACGTCACCCTAACCGGTATAGAGGCACGGCTAGCAGGGTCAGGCGACCAGCCGGTACTCTTGCAAAGGGAACACCGGAGGCCACACTCCTGGAGGCCTTCTTGGAGCTACGCGAAGGCGGCGGCTACGGTGTCTGGAGGGCCGACGATGGTGATGTCGTCGGCATATGCCAGCACCGCCACCTCGGGGTGGCTGGTCGCCACCTAGGTAAGGAGGGGTTGGATAGCCGCCGCAAAGAGTAGGGGACCGAGGGGGTCCCCTTGGCGCACGCCCCTGCTGCTCGTTACCATCTCTTCTTCGAAGGCAGCGTCGAGAAGGAGGGGAGAAGGTGTGTCGTAGAAAGTGAGGGCCAGCGACAGCAAGGGCTGCAGGCCGCTCCAGTGAAGTACCTGTAAGAATTGTGGTCGATGGACACTGTTGAAGGCATTCTCGACGTCAACCTGCAGGACGACATGCCTTGGGAAAGCCTGGAGCAGTATTCGCACGATGTGGATGACGCACTCTGCCCCCCCGGTACCGCCACGACAAATTGGTGAGGCAAGAAGAACTCCCGAATAAGCGCGCTTAATACGTGTAGCACGGATTTTGCAGCAATGCGCAGAAATGATTCGCCGATGGCGATGGGGCGCACACCTCCGCCTGGCTTGGCCAACGCGACGAGCTTGCAGGGGAGCAGTTCATCGCATGTTGCTGACGCCAGGTCTCCCCCAATTAGACATGGTTAAAAAGCGATGCGATGCGATATCGCATCGCTTTTTCAGTTATCGCCTGAATTATCGCGGCGATGTGATGTCGCATCGCTGCGATTTTTTTTTTTATATTACCAATATCGCAATTTTGGCGTGATATTTTCTAATATCGCATTTCTATGTGCGATATATCGTGCGATGCGATATTTTATCACATCGCCAGGGGCACATTGCAAAAAGAATTAGTGTACACTGGCAATATGGATAGGGGGCTATGTTGGAAATGCAGAATGGTTTCAAAAAGTGGCACAACACCGAATTACAAAGGCAGACTGGCGGTTGTCATAAATACAAAGCAAACAAAAATTGGCGAGCTCCAGCAACAAGAGAGCCCCACTATCGTCCAAGGGTTTAGTGGGAGTGGTGGGGAGGTGGAGAGTGGAGAGGGGGGGGGGGAGGGAGCGTACTATTGTGAGCGACTGTGGAATGGTCGCCTGACGTTCTTTCCGTGGTTTAGGTGGGGGGGTGACGAAGGGAGTGGTGGGAGATGCCAGCAGGAGAGGCTAAACAAATGGACATAGAGAACACAGATGCCAAGTTTCGAAAACACCCTTCACAACCCAGGGCCGATCTCCAGGCCGAGATCAACTGCCGTGTCGTCGTCCACGCCGCCATCAAGGCGCTCCCCCGGGTGAGAGGCAATCCAGGACTTGAGCATCATGCAAGCCCGGATGCGCTCCCTCCCTAGGCGGTGCCGCTGCCAGTGAATGAGGTTGCGGCCCTGTGAGAACAGGCGCTCGCAAGGGGCGGAGGTGGCTGGGATGGCAAGGTAGTCCATCGCCATCCGCCGCAGCACTGGACGCTCGGTATGGTAACGCCAAAACTGCAAAGGGCACTCGTGCAACTCCTGGAGGGGGAGCTCCAAGTACCTCTCGATCTCGTCCTTGGCCTGCTGCGTCTGCCTGGCACGCACTGCCCTAAGATGTGCGAACACTCCCAGGTCCTCATCCGCCTCCCCTCCCTGATCCTCCTCCTCATCCCCACCCCCAGTCGCAACCCCTTCCGCCATGGCCACCTGCAACTGTGCGGCCGCATCAACATCCTTCTTATACACCATCCAGCGCGAGCGGACCAGCGTCAAGACCGCACTTGTCGGCAACTCCTTCACTTTACGCGTGCTCCCTGAGACCTGAGATGGCCTGTCGAACCAAGCCAACTTCAGCGCAGGGTCAAGGAATGTTGCCACGTTCAGGTCATCGGTGCTCGAGTAGAAGTAGTTCAGCATCTTCTCCAATGCCTCGGCAACGCACACCCCCATGATCGACCCTTCTTCGGCCCTTGCCTTCTCCTTCTGCTTCTCCAACCAGTCCAGAACTCCGTTGTATTGTGGGACCACCCTGCTGACCGTGGGTCACGTTGTTGAACGGCGCCAAGAAGGTCATAAACTCCTCCAGCACGGTCCACTCCGCTTCAGTCAGAGACTTCGCATCTATCTCCAACTGCTCCTTCTTGTTGCAGCCCTGGTTATTGCGTGGTGGCGTGGGGAGGGTAGTGCAATAACAATTATGTTTGTTAGTTCGGGGGGTGTGAGCACCATACAGGGCATGGGGGGGTTGGAGGGCGCATTGATGCGGTAAACACAGAGAGGGCGCGGATTGCTGCTGTAATCACAAGGGTTATGGGAGAGGGAGCGCTGGATGTGCGGCGTGACTACATCCACCCACGCCAACCCAAGCGAAGGCGCACCTCACGATTGACGAAGGTGACGATGGGGTTCTTGAGATCAAGAGCCCTCTTGATCATTGCATGCGTCGAGCCCCATCGCACTGATTTGTTTTGCTTCAGCTTGAGAGCCTGCTTGGTGGGGATCTGGTGGCGCTGTTCCTTCTCGAAGGCCACATTCTTGGTCTTCGAGAAGCTGATGTGCGACGCAAGGTCCCGCAACTTCCTGAGTGGCGTGTCGACTTGTGGCACCCCAGTTATGGCTGCGTGGACTGCAATGTTGCAGACGTGTGCGATGCATGTGCAGCATCATACAGAAGAGAGGTGGGGTGGTGAGGTGAATACTTGCGAAACACAAACCCTTGTGTTCGCAATGAAACCATAAAATGGACACACATATGGTGAGCGTGACGTGTGGTATTCTTACCAGACGTGCGGGCCGCGTCCAAAGATGGGAACCAATCGCACGTCGCCATCCGCCCGCCAACCCTTCTTCAGAAAGTTGAATGCTGCCCCATTGACAGATGCGTTGTTAGTGGTCAGTGCCATGCACCTGTCTGCCAGCCCCCTCTCCTCAATCACCTCCTCCAGAATCTTCGCCACTGTCTCTCCTGTGTGCTCGGCCGGCAGGGGTCGGAAGTCAAGCGTCGGCTGTCGCAACTGGAATTCAGCGTCGATGTAGTGGGCGGTAATCCCCATGAACCCCAACTCGTTCTCCGCCGACCAGATGTCCGTCGTGACCGAGATGGACCCCACGCCAACGTCCGCCTGCAGCTCCGCCTTGGCGAGCTCCGTTGCCTTGGCCTCCTGCTGCATGATCATACTGGCCAACTTCTGCCATGATGGAATGGCCCCCGGCTCCCCCAGCCGCTGGTTAGCCTCGGCCATCATGCGGCGGAATTGGAAGGATAGCAATTGGGGGCAGGCAGTATGGAGGCACGTCAGGGGTTTGGACCATGTGAGACGTTCCTTCTGTTATAATCACAATAGGCTCAGATGTGCCTAAAATGAGAGATAGAGAGCACAGTCGGATTTCCGTCAGACGGCTTCAAATATTTATAGCGATCCGATCTGTGGCTCAAACGGTAATCTGTAAATTGGATGTGACGCGTGTTGCTGTCGCCTATCAGCAGCAATTTAAATCATGAAGTTCCATGAAGATTTGACGACGCTATGGCAGTTTGACTGGCAGGAGGTATAGCAGCCACTATAATCTTGGAAGTACAAAGTTAGCAAGAAGAATTCGAGATGGAGATGGTTCCCAGCCTCTACATACCCGAAGAGCCAAGGTCCAGGTTGGTGGTACACCACCATAGAGTCCCCAACCATGAAGAGTCTCGAAACAAACCCTCCAAGGGGCTACACCAAGTGAAATATAGCACTACACGAAGTAGCGTTACTATTTTCACCATTTTAATATTTATCCGTGTCCCTTGGGCTTGAAATCTTGAGCTCTTGGTCTTGAATCTGCAAGATAAATTCTTCTTGAGTTGATGGGGGCTTGCTGCACACACCTGCGACGCGATGGACACTTCACACTCGACAAAATAGAAAAAACAGATGCGACGCGTAAACGACGACTTGACATGCGAGTTGTAAAAACTCGCTAATGTCTTGACCGACACAAAATCACATTGTGATACACCATTCAAACACAAACACAAGCACTAGATAGCAATGACATAGACTCACGATTCATTCCATGCCATGCATGCACACACACAAACAAGGACGACAAGACGAGTGCAAGCCATAGGGTTGCACCAACACCTTCCTAGACTCGCGGTGAAATGAAAGCATTGCATAGTCTCAACGCCACAAGAATGAGCAAGCATTGCAGACGGCGAGGGATAGTATTACGTACGGTGTCTCGCTTGACTGTGCTAAATGGTGAGTCGGTGTCCACAATGTACTCGACCTGTAACTGCTTGAACTGCTCCAAGTCCATGGGCTTCTGAAAGAAGCGCTTGATGCCCCTCCTGCCCACCGGGCCCCCAGTCACCTCATCCTCGTCAGGCAAGATCGGCTAGGTGGCTGATCCGGCCCACCCACCATCCCCGTCGGGCACCTCACCCTCCACCCCAAACCCGCCTCGGGGTATCTTATCGTCCACCGTCATCTGCCCCGACCGCCGCATGCGGACGAGGATGTCCCAAGTCGGGCGGTGGTGCAGCAGCATGTGCACCTTCCCGTTCTGGGTCGTGCGCTTGGTGAAGCTCACTTGGGCGCTGCACCTCCTGCAACGCCTCCACTCCGTATCGGGCTGCATATCAAAGCACTGCCCCACAATATGGGGTGGATCCTTCTCCCCCCCCTCAACCCCAGCTGGAGCAGACCCATGTGCGTGTGCCATTTCCCCAACTCCCCTACACTGCCCCGCTCCCTTCCTCGCACCCATGCCTCCCCTTGGACCGCCCTTCTTTCCGCCACCACCACCTTTCCCCCCCAGACCATCCGCATGTAGATGGCCCAGTAACATCCCGGGCCTCCCCCTCTCTCCCAACCCCGCCCCTACCATCCCTCCACCTCTCCCTCTCCCCTTGCCCCTCTCCCTACCACGCTCACTCCCTCTCCCCCTCCCCCTCCCTCGCGCCATCTCATTTGCCCCCCCCCCCCCTCCCCTCCCTCCCTGATGCCTTAACCTTCTTCCCAACCATACCCCCGGACAGTTGGGAGGCCATTGCATTCTTGCGCTTCCCTTTTGACCCCTCCATCCCTCCACCAAAGGCCTCTCCAAGGCCCTACCCCTCTTCCTCCTCAACATCATCCCCATCCACCTTCTCCTCATAACCCCCCTCCTCATCCCCCTCCCCGTTGTACTCCTCATCCTCCTCATCCCCCTCCTCCTCCTCCTCCCCCTTCTCCTCCTCCTCCTCCTCCTCCTCCTCCTCCTCCTCCTCCTCCTCCTCCTCCTCCTCCTCCTCCTCCTCCTCCTCCTCCTCCTCTCCGGCATCATCGTCCTCCCCCTCATCCTCCCCCCCCCCCCCCCCCCGCCTCCCTGGCGTCGCCCTCCCACCCCTGCATGCCCATCGCCCCCCGCCCCCCCCTCCTTCCTCATCCGTCGCAGCTCGGAGCCGCCAGGCGTGCCTATCTTCCTCCTCCACCCTCACAACCACCCCTGTGAGAGTACGACCCCGTTACACCAATTTCCCCTTTCCATATTTCCTTTCTATTTCATTCCTCTTTTTATCCTGATTCATTTGGTCTTTATCTCATCTCATTTGGTTTCCTATTCCTCCTTTTCCATTATCCTTTGGTTTATCCTCTTATCATAATTATATCACCGACCAGGCTCGGGATGTACTGGCGCGCTATATCTAGCGTAATCCTGCCGTAATCCCTTAAAGCCAATAGCCTTGTGTGGCTATACGCATGGTGATTCTATTTCTAGAAGGGTCTATTCCCTTTGGATAGGATAAACCTGGTTACCTGATGTATTCTGGAGGTATAAAAGCACCTTGTACTGATTGAGAGTGCAACATTGAGCAAACCTTTCCTCGGGACATTCGATCCTGTGACACTTGGTAATCAGAGCCAAGGTTTCAGCTCAACGCTTAACCGCTGGGCCCCCAGGAGCACGCGGAGGATGGAGTCGAAACTTCAATTCCTGTAAGTACAATGCACTTTCATTTAAGTTTCGACCACCTCTCGCAGTTGCACCTGGGGACCCCTTCGAAGGCGAGATGCCTCGCCGACCGTTCGATGGACTGCATCGACGGTGCCGATTTTTTTCGCGGGGGCAAACGGCCTCGACCTGGCGAGCGCGTCAGTTCCAGCGGAACACCCTCTGCGACTTTCGGAGTTGTTCGTAGTTCGCCACGACACTTGGAGTCGCGCGGAAATCAGCGGAGCTTCGAACGACGACATCCGTCCGATGGAGATTCGACGCTTCAGATCGACCGAGGCGAAACGAAATCCGTCTGAGCCATTTCGTGTTTCAGCGCGAATGGGAACGGGACCTCGCAAGCTGCGAAATTCTTCGGAGCGTCCGATCGTTCGACAGCCGACATCGACGACCGAGAATTGCTGCAGCCCCGCCACAGAAAGCTGCTGAACGCGACTCAGGAACGTCTTCAGATCGCTTGGAGTTTGGACCGTCGGATCGACTTCTACTTCAACGGACGAGATGGAGCGCGCTTCTGCAAAACGGGAGAATGACGTCTAGAACCACAAATCAGCCGCCGTCGACACCGTTTTCTTCATCAGGCCAACCAAATTCGGTTTCCTCCATTTGGTCACGAATTTGGCGCGCAAATCATCTGCAAGGTCAGAAATCTACCAAATGATTACCTACTTGGTAATAGCTGCAAGCAGAAAATTGACAGGAGAACGTGGATCGTCGGATCGATGCGGAATCAACGGCGCGAATGCAGCGGAAACTTCACTATGGGAAAACATCACCATGGAGACAACATTCGTGACCAGAGACTGCACCATCGACGCATCTTCAAACTAGTGTCGATAACGATCTATTTATTTTGACGAAGCCATCTTCGTTAAAAATGAATCGACATCAACACAGCGGATCTTCACCCAGGAAAAACAATGGAGCTTCGTGAAGACATGTTCTCCATCCATGAGATACTTCATCTCATAAATTTGATCGACAACCTATGGGATTGCAGAGAAGTAGCCGTTTTCTCTTGCAATGCTCCCAAGTTCAAGTTGCTGCGAAGGAGTAGATTTCGCACGCAACGACGACGCAGTGAACCCGTCTCGTCAAGGCCAGCGAGACACTACTTCGTAACAGGAGCTGATCGATTCGTCTTCATCAAGAATCTCAGCCATCCGAAGTGATTGGTTGGAGCAGTTTTCAACATCAACCTCACGAGGCGACACACCAATCATGCGTCGCGATTCCAGGTGTTAATGACCTGCGTGGAAAATTCTTCCGTGCATGTCACGATGCTTGACAGATTGAGGAGTAATTAACCTCTAATCTGGCAAGTACTCGCTCACTAGCGACCCTACGGCACATGCATTGGAGGCGATTCTACCAGCAGCCGAAGCGTTACAAGCATCAGCGTAACTTCGACGATGCAGGAGAACGCCAAGCAACACGAGGTGTCAACAAATGGGGGAGATGCGGACTACTACTAACACGATCACGCGCTCTACCGACCGTACATCGGAGGCACGGATGAGCATACTAGGAATTGCTACCCGTGGATACATTGAGGGGAGAAGCAAATTTATCTTCACACCCTCAAATGAGACAATCACCAGCAGCAATGGAGCAACCCATGTGTACCATTGTGCACGTGTTCCTGGTAGTTACGCCTGTTACACCCATCAGGAACACTCTACTGGGAAGAGGGAGTTGATGGATTCTCCTTCAACCGGTACGAGTTGAGAGAATTCTCTGCAGCAGCTGTCGCCGTCGCCATCGTCGCTACCGCCACCGCCGCCGCAGCAGAAGACTCGATACAACAGTCATAACCAAATCCTGATGGATGATTCTCCGCTCAATGGAGATAATGCTGGATTATATTCCAGTGGATCGTAAAGTCCCGGCCAGGCACAGTACTACGATTTCCAGCTAGTGGGAAGGAGATACCACTATGCTCTGGAATAGCTATGGCAATGCCATATACCCTCAAGAGCAGATGATATTTGCTCTTATGAGGATGGGAGGACTACGGTACTCTACCGGTATACAAGTTCTCATGGCCTATGGCTTTCCTTAAAGTCATAAAACCTGCGTCGCAACCAATCCATCAATAGCACTACCTCCATGGAAGCAGATAGGCGTAAAATGGAGCGCCGATGCCACTCCGGATAGTGGACTCCGCGTATCTCCAACAACACCCCTGTTTGCCGAAATGGAGCAGACTTCAACACCGATGCTGAGTAGCTGAGACATCTTCGACATCAATGCTACTTCAAGGACAGTGACAGAATAAGACGCACGATGGCACCAGAAGACCTATCCCAATATGTGCGCCCAGACACCGATGCCTACCGATGGCCTCCGTGCGAAACTGGACGTGCATAAGGTCATACTGGATTGGCTGTCACCAATGCTCATTTGGAAATGGGAGAGGATTATTTGGGAAGAGCCCTAACATTCCCAGATGTCCTAACCCATCACCGTGGGATATCTACGCAGCTGAGATTCCTTGATTGAGCAACCACCGGGGGAAACTACCTTGTCGCCGATTCTGGAAGTTACCAGCTCCGCGTTTATGGTACCAACCCCTCGCATGGTTCTGAACACAAGGGATACGCTGAGCAGCACTTCGCATGCGCTGTTGTACTCAAGGCAGTGTGAGTAGCAGACCGCGTGGTGAACAGGGTTACTTCTAGTGAATTTGCTCTCCAATCCCGCAGCACTACGATGCCGAGAGGGTACAACTTGCGACAACACTACGGCATGGACCAGCATTCGACAGAAGCTGCATGTATAAGATACAACGTTGCTACAGAAGCAGGAGTATGACACGACTGCAACACCACCAACACTTAGTCATCTTCAGACGTGGACGGGATGCGTGTAACACCGAGATGTGCTACCCGAGACTCAACGCATGCTACAGTGTGCCAGCTAGAGCACCCACCGAAAAGACAGTACATCTACTCTTCCGCTACAACATCTCGATCACGATCAACGCCATCCGCATACCACCTACAGACGCAACCCGCTCACACCACAACAACCGACAAATATATTTCATCACCGTTGTCCATCAGCTCTAACACCGGACACGACACTTGGACATCCAACAGCAGCAGAAGCACCTGGCTGCTCATCACTACAGTTATCCACACCATAATCTCGACATCAGCCATCTTCCATCTTCCATCCAAGCTTCAACCTTGCTTATGCGGGACTATCCTCGTTGAAGCAAAGGTCACTTCAATCACCTTTCGCTTCCGCCTACCAGCCCCTTAGAAGATCCATACCGCCTTCCATACCAGCATCTTAAACCCTATCAAGACCAAACACGCTCTACACCGAATGCCAACCACTGTCGCCGCTCGTGTTCATCCACGCCATGGGGAACTACGTGCTCGGACACCGTCGTCGTCAAAATGGCACTCTGGAGCTTCTTCTTTACTGGAAGGGTTATGATACTTCTGAGGCTGCGTCTCTGAATTCGACATGGGTAACGCCCGTCGTCCTCTTCGCGACAACCTTGTCAAGCAGGGTGTTACTTCTACCACCCAGCTTTGAGGGGGGGAAGTGTGAGAGTACGACCCCGTTACACCAATTTCCCCTTTCCATATTTCCTTTCTATTTCATTCCTCTTTTTATCCTGATTCATTTGGTCTTTATCTCATCTCATTTGGTTTCCTATTCCTCCTTTTCCATTATCCTTTGGTTTATCCTCTTATCATAATTATATCACCGACCAGGCTCGGGATGTACTGGCGCGCTATATCTAGCGTAATCCTGCCGTAATCCCTTAAAGCCAATAGCCTTGTGTGGCTATACGCATGGTGATTCTATTTCTAGAAGGGTCTATTCCCTTTGGATAGGATAAACCTGGTTACCTGATGTATTCTGGAGGTATAAAAGCACCTTGTACTGATTGAGAGTGCAACATTGAGCAAACCTTTCCTCGGGACATTCGATCCTGTGACAACCCCCTCCACCTGGGGGGCAGCACCCACACCTCCAGCAGCACTGCCTTGAGTTCCGTGGCAACCGCCGCCAACCACCAACTCCCCTCCGCCATTCGCTCCAGTGCGCGCAGAGCCGGATGTGAGCTTTGCAAACAAGGCATCGTCCTGCTGCCTGCGCTGAGCTCGCGCCTCAACAATCGTCATCCCGGTGGTTCCACCATAGCGCCCCCTCCCCTCAACCCCCGCTCCTTGACTAGGCCCTCCGCCGCTCCGCCCCGCCCTACCGCGTGGACCGCGAGCACGCGGACCCATCGTCGCCTCAAATCCTACTTGCAAAACCCCAAACCCTTCGGGCTACCCCAAGAAGGTTGTGCCGAACTATGGGCGTGGATTTGGAGCCTTTAGGCTAAAACCCTATGGCTTAGCGATGGGAACAGCTTTGATGATGGCAATCTACGATAAACCCTAAACCACCTAGCCGTTGCCGTCCCCCTCGCGTGCCGCACAGACGTTGCTACGCGATGGTGCCTAAACCCCAGACGTCGGGAAGGTGCGGTGCGTACGACGTAAAACGGCGCGAGGAAACTAAAAACGACACCCTACTTAGGTGTGGTGGCTAATTGCCTAAGTCGATTAGGGAGACTAGACTAGGACTTTAAATTGTTGCCCCCATCTATGCTTACTTAGGAGGAATGGGGGAGTGGAGGCATGGCTTAGTGACTAAGGGAGTTCCTTCCATCCTTCCTTAGTCACTAAGGGAGTGCAAGGTGAGCTTGCTTTGCTTTGCATGCAAGCTTGGGAATGGGAGTGGGGAGGTAGGAAATGTGTGTGGAATTTGATGGGGTTGGGGTTCTCTCAAATGAGAATTGGTCGCAGCCCTTTTGGGCTTCGTTCTCCCCCCCCTCCCCCCCCCCCCTCGAAATCTGCCAATGTCGCGGTGCGATACGCGAAAAAATCGCATGCGATATTTTTTTATCGCATATCGCAGTTCATCGCGGAAAAAAACCGTGATAAATTCGCGATATCACAAATAGCACGTGATATTCTCGCATCGCATCGCTGCAAAAAAAAAAAAAAAAAATCGTTATCGCAAAAAGCGATAAATAGCGATGCGATATACAGTGACGGAAACAATTGTCCGAATGTTTTGCATTAGCTGGGGTTTTTGGGCTTTTTGACTACTGTACATAGATTCTTAATGTTTAATGGTGGTACGCTTTGGGAGGGGCACATAGTGGATGTGCTCACAGTGCTAAAATCCATAATAGTACACTGGATCTAACTTATTGCCAAAAGATGTACAAAGAGAACATCCGGACAATTGTTTCCCATAACAAAGAGCAAACTTCTTAACAGCATTTGTAGTACCTAGTCCACCGACCTTTGGCCTCGATGACCACCTTCACCCTCCTAGGCATGTTGTCTACGATGTTAGTGCAAATCTTTACAGGGATCTTCTCACACTCTTCCTGGACCCACCCTTTTGCATAAAGGGTTGAGCCCTAGGAAAATTGCGAAGGATTTGAGCGTATGCAAGAGTATTGTGCACGATTTCTGATTGAATGTGATCTCTTAGACTAGCTACGCTGAGGTGTCACCAAAGATGCCATTAGCCGATTGGTCCCGTCTTTTCATGGGTCGCCTCCGCCATACCGCTGTAGGGTAAAACCACAAACAGAGCAGCAAAAACTAGCGTATATGCTACGAAACTGAGGGTAACGTACAGTAGCACGGTCAGTTGTGCACCCTTGCAATATTTGAATGACGCTAGGATCCGCAGGTCTCGTCACAGTGCAGCAGTCAAATAAGTTGCGACTGTTTGGGAAGAATGCTTGAGGTGAGGTCTGGTGAGAAAATGGGTCACTCCAGCGTAACATACTCATGCTCTCCAAGCCATTCCAAGCCAATTGTCCCGCCTAGGCTTGGAATGGCTTGGAGAGCATGAGTATGTACCACTGGAGTGACCCTCTTCTTCACTAGACCTCAATCCGGATATTCTTCCCCACCAGTCAGGGCTTCTTCAGCTGCTGCACTGTAACGAGACCCTTGGATTTTAACGTGATTCTAATAGTGAAAGGGTGCACGGTCGACCGTGCTATGTTACCCTAAGTTTCGCGGCGGATACGTTAGTTCTCACCCTTCTGTTTGTTATTTTACCCTTAAACGGTACGACGAAGTCGACTCATGAAAGGACGTAACCAATCAGCTAATGGCGTCTTTGGTCACACCTCAGCATGGCTTGTCTAAGAGATCGCATTCAATTAAAAATCGTGCACAATACTCTTGCATACGCTCAAATCCTTCGCGATTTTCGTAGTGCTCACCGCGTTATGCTAAGGGTGGGTCCAGAAAGAGTGTGAGATGATCCCTGCACAGGTTTGCACTAACCTCGTAGATAACATGCATAGGAGGGTGCAGGTGGTGATCAAGACTAAGGGTCGGTGGACTAGGTACTACAAACGCTGTTCAAAAGTTTGCTCTCTGTCCTGGGAAACAATTGACCGGACGTACTATTTGTATATCTTTTGGCACTAAGTTAGATCCAGTGTACTATTATGGATTTTAGTGCTGTGAAC